AGGAACGCAGGGGGCGGGGAAGGGGGGAGGAGCTATTTTGGGTTATATGCGAGCTTATTTTGTTAAAATTTGTAACTTTTATGAATTTTCAAATACTATACTTTTGTGGATCAATTACTGTTTATATATGTACTCTTTGTGAGTATTGTTTGATTCGTGTTTAATTCATGGCTGAATTATGTATATATTATTGTAATTCAGTGTATATGAGATCAATTATTGTTAACAGGTAAATATAACGTATATGAGTTATGTTACGTATATACAGAACATGCACAGGCTGCTGTGCATGTTTTGTAAAACCTGCAACTCCACGGGAGTTCACTCCCGTAGAGTTACAGGGTTAATTTTCCAGAGAGCGATTCTCTGGAAAATTTGATTGAAACTCCAAGGGAGTTGAACTCCTGTGGAGTTTTTGCAGTGTAACAAACTTCACGGGAGTTGAACTCCCGTGAATTTTGTTTTAAGCAATAAAACTTCACGGAAGTTGAACTCCCGTGAAGTTTTAGCAGTTAGTTAAAAATCTGCTAAACTTCACGGGAGCTGAACTCCCTTGAAGTTTCGAAAAAATATTTTCAAAAACCGACCTGGTTTCAGCGCCAGGGCTGAAACCAGGTCGGTTTTTGAAAATAAGTTCAAAACATGTCTTTTTTTAGAATAAAAGTCCAAAGAGGACTGTTTTGAAAATTTGTCCATTTATAGTAACAAGGACGCACTTTTCTGCCACGAGAATATTATCACATCCCCTGGATTTGATTCAGAATTTTTCAGTAATGAGTTATAATTAGCGGTCACTTACATCACTAGTTCTTTTCAAGACCGCCTAATGAAGTAGGCAAGGGGATTTTTCATTCCTCCCGCCAAGAAAAAAGCAGTTTCCACGGTGGCTTCGCTAACCATTCCTCCAAGAGAAAAGCCTGGTCTAGATTCATCATATAACCTGCTGTAATCCGTGATGAAACAAGACGAAAGTGATCTAAACATGTTTTCACAAAGGCATGTAAAAAAAACCTGCTGTGCATGTCAGAATCGGCGTTAAAATAATCCGTTTTCTGCTACAAGAATATGATCACATCCTCTTTGTTTCCCCCTTTTTTCTTAATGAAATGTGTTGATACTCGACTACAATAAGCTGTCAAATTTCACAATTTCAGTTAGAAATTG